CTGTCCGCTCGAGAAATCATTTTTTCCCCCGCTTGAAATTTTCTCAGAAGATAAGAAAGCCGAACGGAACGCAAGGGTCAGCTTTAATAAAGTCGTAAGGAGTATTTGCCGGTAAAACTTGCAGCAAAAATAGAAACGGAAAAGAAGGGAAAAAAGAGAGAGAGAGAGAGAGAGAGAGAGAGGAGGAGGGAGAGAGAAAGAGAGAAAATCGTGTATATATTGGCTACTTCTGTTCTTAACATCTGTTCTCAGAAGGAACATGCTCGCGCAATACCGTTCACTGTATAAAGATATAGGAGTACAGGGATATTGGAGGTTGCCGAGAGAGAGAGAGAGAGAGAGAGAGGGGGGGGGAGAGAGAGAGAGAGAGAGAGAGAAAACGAGCTTTTTCCCGATAAAAACATTCCGTCGAGTATACCATACATACATCGAACGCTCAAAGTGTTTCGTTACGCTATTTAAGCGTCCTTCAGCTCTTTCACGAAGGTAACTGCCGGTTTCGTCGAGCGGTGGAAACCGACGCGCTGTAAAATCGTGCCGTGCGATAACGCGCGGAAACTCGAACATCACCGTCGGAGCACCAGATACGAAGTTCTTGCCGCGAGCTGTAGGTCGAGAGAGCGCAGAGCTCGTGAGGAGGTGGAGGAGGAGGTGGAGGTGGAACAGTTCCGACGGGGGAAGAGCTCGACGATTTTCCAATCGAGCCGCGAGGCGTTCGTTGTCCCTCCGACGGGAACAAATCGACGAACAACGTCGACAATCGGATTTCGCCTCCGATCGAAGTCGGCCGAATGAGCGGAATCGTAGGTAGATGGCCGTCGCCGTCGCCGTCGCCGTCGTCGCCAGCTAGGTGGAGGCGGCTCGACGCGCTTTGTCGCGACCGAAGAGAGAGGGTTAAAAAGCAATTTTCCCGCTCCGAATAAAGTCGGAGCGACGAGCCGACCGACAGCTGACCGCGTTCGGAAGGCGTCGCGCCGGCGAAACCGCGACTGAACAATTTCGATTTCGAATCCCCGCGACTACGCACCGGGAATACGCACTCGCGTAGGAGCGTCAGATAAAACGTAAAAGCGGGAAGAACAGCGAACGAACATCGAACGCAAGTATTCCCTTTGCATTCGTCTTCGGCTAAATTCGATGTTCGCGATGAAACACGTGTCGGGTCGGTCTATAATTATGGCAATTGCAAGTTTCATTTAATAATATGCAATCATTGTTACTTACGCAATTGCACCAATGCTTTTGAACAATTTGGTTAGCTTCTCCCATGTCCAAGTTTTTTCTCAGGTGCTACATCATACCAGACAACAAATGTGTGTGACACTCGCACAAACTTTCTTCGATGAACCGCCTTGCATGAGCAGATCGTACACGAATCGGACGTTCCGTTCGTATTCGTTAACTCTTTCAAGACCTTTTCAAGATCTTTTTGTTTCTAAATTGTGGTCGTTTCATTGAAATATATTTATATATAAAAGCGATCATAATCAATATCTAACCAAAAATTTTTTTTATTAGACTGGGGGGTGGAAATACCATTATTAATTAATGTACGTAAATGATATATTTTAATATCAAATTCGCAAGGTTAAGGTAAACGTCCCAATGGCCGGACACGTCTCAGCATCCGACCACTTTGAAAAAAATATTTATTATTTATTTTAATAATAATGAATAGAAGTAATAATTATTGTAAAAAAAACTAATGTTTGACGATTAGTTGGAAAGAAATATACCCAATTTGATACTTTTGTATTAAAATAAAAATTAATTAAATAAGTATGCATAAGTATGGTTTGGCAAAATAATGGTCAATCGTTAATAAATTCATCAAGAGACAGCGCCTATATTTATATTACTCAAAGGAATCCTTAAGTTTTCGATTAAACGCAAATAGCAATATCAAAACTATTCTTAATATTATACAGGGTGCTAAATTTCAAACGTAACAGGTAATAAAATCTCGAAAACTAGGAAAGATATTAAAAAAAGCTAAAACACGTGTTCCATGATTTCGACGAAGGGGACTTTGACGAAGGGCAAAGAGAATGGCATTAGTTTTTTATTTGGAGGGCGTTTTCAAGGTCAGTTGAAGGTCAACTTAATTTTTTAAAATAGAAAGCCCAAGTTTTTATTATATCTTCTTTATCTACCAATTAATTTTAACAACTTTTGTCTGAAAAATTTTTTTGTTTGCCTAATATTTTTTGAAATATTTAAAGAAAACTTGGTAACTTTTCAACATGTCACTTACGATACCTCGCTAACTATTTGTCGAAAGAAAAAATAGTATTAGACTTTTTTACTTTATTTACTATCAAGAATATATGACTATAATAGTGCTCTAATTTTTGTTAACTTCGACCTTTCGACCTTTGGAAATTTCAAAATTATTAAATTAACAAAAGTTCATTGCACGTGTTTCAGCTTTTTTCAATATTTTCCATAGTTTTCGAGATTTTTGTTACCTGTTACGTTTGAAATTTAGCACCCTGTATATTGTATTTTTTGTGACGACCTACGCTTAAACGTCCGGTTACTGGGACATTTACCTTAGTCTTTTTGAAACATTTGGTGGTACGTGCATGTACCGATCGGCTTGAAAGAATTAAGACGTACACGTTTCCCGCGAGCCATAATAGCGAGTGCTCGGATTCGACGTTCGTTCGCTCAAAGTAGATCCACCTTAAGAGGCCGCGACTCGAGGGAAGACGACGCGGGAGTGCGCTTCCGCGGATTATCGCTTCCGAGAGTGGAGCGATAAAATACGGTATACGGCTCCCCGTAGCGCGCCGTGACAGCTCGGCGCGATTGTTTGTATCTCCGTCACCGTTCACGCGATACGCAAATGCACTTTGGCGAGCTTTTAAATCGGACCCCGCGTCCTCGCATTTACGCCCGGCGAGGGTGCGCGTGTGAAAAAATCATCGCGCGATTCGTTCGTCTACAATGGATCGCTTACCGTGGAGTAGATACGCGTCAGCTGTCCGAATGACGTCGGTGTCGTTTCGCCCGGCTACGCATGATTGACAGTTTTATGGGGACGAGCGGAGGCTGCTTTTCGAGTTACGACCGGGGCCTGCTTTTATCGCCCCCTCGAGCGGGGGCCGAGCGTTATGTCGCGTTTGATGCTAATCGATACGCGGCCGGCCGCCGGAAGCGAGCGGTGGGCTAAGCTCTGCTTCTGAGATTTACTGACAAGCGGATTCACATGCACGTTGTGTGCAGCTTGCGGGGGACAAGCGCGGAGCTTGCTCGAGTCGCGCCAGGAAAAGTGCGCGTAGTACGGTTTCTCTTCAAATCCAAGACGTAATTATACGAGGATCGTCACATCGTGGAAAAATTACCAAGGCCCTAATAAGGGCCTGATTATTTTTCCCAAACATTAATCGGACTCTAGTAGGGATAGAAAGACAAGAGTCCTACAAGATGTGTCACAAATAGTTTAGCGGGTCCTTATAAGGCAATATTAATTAGGGTCTTATAAGAAAATATTTTTATTATTGCTTGAGTAAAAATAATCCTTCTTTCCATTTCAAGAAATTTGGACTGTAATTTCTTTATTTCTTGATTCTTTTTATTTTTTTTAAATATAGCATACTGTACAATAAAATGTAGTATTCTTTACATATAAAAATACTGCTACTGTTTTTATTAAAGTTTGCTGCATTTCAAAACAAAGGCAATACGAGAAAAATTCTTGGAAGAGACTAATGAATATAGCAACTGACAAAACTAATAAAACTTACAAAACTAATAAAATTTACTTTTAATTGCGATATAATAAAAAAATCTTTAAAAGAACCAGATTGAGCGTACCTACAACCTAAAACAATACTAAACTATCATAATTTTATTAGACGCTTCGGATCTTATTAATTTTCTACAACAAAACTTGATTTTGTCTATCTAAAACACAGAGCTCGACAAACTTTACAACTTTCGGCCGATTTTCGGAAGCTACGCCTTCTATCTCCCCTTACCGCGCGGCGGATCCAGCAACTGACGGTCGCGGCTCGCGACCTCAGGACCGTTAAAATCATAAGGCGCATCTATGTGGTTGAAAAAGAAAAAAAAAAAAAAACGCGTCGACAACAGTACCTCATGCGTGACGAGGAAACCTATTATATTACCTTCTAATTATAAAAATATAAGAAAAAGAATATATATATATATATATATTTATACAAGTATATATTTGTACATATTTGTACGAAATATTATACATACTATAGTTGTATCGATACATTTATTTTTCAACCTTTGAGGTGCGTTAAAGGAGCGCATTGTCAACGTTAACATGTTATTCTATCTTTATCGCTCATTACATGTACAAGGATTGAATGACGCGTTAGCGCTGATAGACGCGCTTCCCGAACGCATCTTTAGTAGTAGGCACCACATAGATGCGCCTTATGATCTCAACGGTCCTGAAGTCGCGCGAGTCGCGACCATCGGTTATCTGGATCCGCCGCGCGGTAAGGGGAAACAGAAGTCGTAGCTTCCGAAAATCGGCCGAAAGTTGTAAACCTTGCCGAGCTCTGATCTAAAGCATCCTCTCTTAAAAGATCCTTCTAAGACCCATATCAATTTTCTCTATCAAAGCCTTATTTATTAGATCTAAGGCATCACTAAAAAATCTACTTCCAAGGCCCTTCTCAGCTTTCCCTATTAAAGCCTTATTGCGTAAAATCTAAGGCATCTAATGACTTTCTGCTCGGGATAACGCACGTTCCAAATGCACTTGCGACATCAACAATCGCGCGTAACGCAATAAAAATTTACGAAAAATGGGCTCGCGCAAAATTGTCCCGAGAGCCTTATCGCAGGCGGCACAAAAGTCGAGGTCGTAGTCGCGCTGTTCAGTTCTGAATATCGCTTATCCGACGTGAGAATCGAAAAGTCGATGTAAACGGAGGATGGCGCGCGGCCAACGGCGGCGCATTTAGCATGAAATGCGACGACGGGGAGCGGAATGTACGAAAGCCTGGACGACTCACCTCGCAGCTGGAATGACTGATGTTGCTCAGATTTAGCCTGAAGATCTTGTCCCTGAAAGCAGAGGAGGAAAGTTTCGTGTTAGCGTAACGGCCGAATTAAGCGCGGTCGCGATAGACGAAAGGGTCGAGGGGTAAATTTTCATTCCCCCACGTCTGCGAGATGCATTACTCTCCGTGACTCGACCCTACCTTATCTCGCCACGGTTATGTATGGTTGTGTAGCGCCGCGGCACTTTGCTTACGGCTCTCCGCCGCGGCGAACGCTCGCAAACGGCACGGAATTTCTATGAGGGTGGTGGAAAGGGAGAGACCGGAGGGCAAAAGTGGGATGAGGCAGCGTCTCTCTGACCGAGTTCTACCTTGTCTCTTCTTTGTTCAACCGTGATCGAAGTCGTGACGTTTTCGCAAACCGGGTCGCGCTCGCTTTTATTGGAACTCGAAGCATCTCGAAGCATCATCATCGCTCGAAAAAATAGAAGAAGCGGGAAAAAAAAGAAAAGAAGAAAAAAAAAAACAGAAAACAGCCGCAATACGCGAGTAGTAAATCGAGGTCGAACGACGAAAAGAAGATGCGAGAAGCACGCGTTATCATCTCTCGTCAGTTGATGCAAACGTTAATTTCACGCCTCAACGTGGAAATGATGTATTTCGCGCGAGAACGCGCGCGCTTCAGTCGATACCGCGGCCGTTCGCCGGCAATAAGTAAAACGCGGAGCAGATCCGCGAGGATTTTCATATAAATCTCGGCGCGACCACTGCGTGGCAATCTGAGGCGCTGCGTTCGATCATACGTGAAAGGTATACGCGCCGCTGAGCGCCGCCGATCGTAAATCGAATTTACCCAGTTTTCAAATGTTTCGCAACATTAACGCCGGCGCGCCGCATAACTTTATCCCAATAGCCATTCATCATCGCCTTTCAATAGAAATACGCAGTCAGACGGAATGCCCGCGCGGAACGTGAAAGAGAAAGAGGAGGGAGAGAAGGAGATAGAGAGAAGGAAAGAAAAAAAAAAAAAAAAAAAGAAAAAGAAAAAGAGACGCGAAAGAGAAAGAGGGAAGAACGAGGTAGGAAGACCTATCCCTCAGCGGCTGTCTTTTTTCATTCATTCTGTGCACCGCTCCGTGAAAAAGTAAATAGCGACGTGGAAAAACAAATCTGCACTTTGGAATCCGCCCGCGTCGAACTTTCGTCTCGGGGAACTTTCAGAGGGCTCGGCAGAGGTGGAAAGAAAGAGGAAGGACGTGGGTGGGACGGATCGTCTACGTGCTGGCACGTCGCTCATGCTACACCGAAAGAAAAAATTCGTAGGAAAGTAATTTGTAGAGGGAAGCCGACGTTTTCGCGAGCGGGCTCGCTGCCGAGTCATCGCTCAGCCGAGCTTTGAGATTCGATCGGGGGATCGAAACGTGCGTAATCAAACTGAGAGACCGCTCGCTGCGCCGGAAAATTGCCGAGTAAAAATTTCATTAGAGCCTCATTGACACGATTCCATGGAAGGCGGTAGAACGTTTTTCCAGAATAAAGAAAGTATTACTCTTGAGAATCGGGAAAAGAATTCGGTCCAATCTAACGTTTTACATCGCCTTAAGGGCTCTTCGAGGGAAAGTTTAATTAAAATCCGGGAGCCTGTTTGCGTGCGCGCGCGCGCGAGTAAGTCCACGTTGCGCGAGCAATTTCTTAAGCTATCGCGCGCGCGACCTACCTGTATCGCGAAAGAAATTTCGACGGATTTCATTGCTAATTACGCGAACGAGAACGTAAACTCAATTAAGGGGATTCCGACCGCGCGTACTGTATGTGTTTCGTGCGTGTTCCCCGTATCTGAAATGGGTCACGGCTTGAAATAACAACCGCATCGCGCTCTCTCTCTCTCTCTCTCTCTCTCTCTCTGCCTCTTTCCCCTTTGCTCATGCCCCGCGCTTTGCGCTCGGATACTGTGGCCGCGTAGTAATACGGACATTTTGCAGAATTTTCCGCGGCGGTCGAGAAGGAGCCTGACGAATGCCGGGTGAAATCCGAAAGGCATCGTTGTCTGAATTTGCGGTTGCGCGTGACGGACAGCTCCGACCTGGGGATGCATTATCCAACACGTCGGGATCTACCCCTCCTTCGCCCCGTCCTGCCGCGGATTCTGGTTTTAGGGGGAATACATGACAAGGGCCGGAGAAGTAGCGTTTGCAACGGCGCGCTATTTACCTCCGACGCCTCCGGGAAAGAGATGTATATCCGCGAGGAGGGATGGCTTTAACATAATAGAACGATTTTAATAATTCCGCGTATAAATCAACGCGGCTCGTGGCTCTCTCGACGTGCTGGCTTCAACAACGCCATTACGTCCGTCGCGTTCCGATAAGCGACCGCGACGCGCGCGTCGCTTAATAATAACCCGCCGCTTTCGTCGCGAAATAATTCGCGAATAAAAAGCGACGGGCCAAAATGCGAAGCGCGTCCTGCCAAAAAGATAAAGCTACGAGAGCGATCTCTGACGCGATCTCTAACCTTAATTCTTCCTATACAATTTCACAGGGAGCGCGGCGGTCCGACGGGTAATTCGCCAAATCGATATACGACATCCGAAGCGCTAACACGACGTCGAAAACGTCCCGAGCGAAAGCTCAATTGCCGCCGCCACGCTTGGCCTTGCAACGCGTTGCTGCTGTTGCTGCTGCCGTCGCCGCCGCCGCAAAGCTCGTGCGGCCGTTTTCACCTCGCAAGCGCGTTCGCGCGACCGTAACTCACTTCTCTCCGCGCTATCGCGCTGCTTTTCAGCGCCGGGGGTTGTTTCAGCGGCCGGGGGCGCGAAATCTCTCTGGCCGTTGCGTCTGGCCGGCAACGGTTACTGAGGACAATTAGGAGGAAAACCGATCGCGCTGCGACTGACCGCGACGTGTTAATCCCCGCCGCCGCCGCCGCGCCGGCTCGCTTTTTCCAGCGAATTGTCGCGAGCACAATAGGAATCAGGGGGAGGCGGGAGGAGCGCGACAAGTGCAGGCCGCCGAGAGCGCGCGAGACGAAAGTATGGTCGACGGGATCTCTTTCGTCTCCGCTCGTCTCGCTTCCGCTGGACGAGGCGCGCTGGCCGGGTTATAAGAGCGAAACTATATTTTTTCGCACAGCCCTCTCGCCGCCTCCGTCCTGATAATTGGAAGCGTTCAATTAGCGTGCCTTAATTGCGGAGCGAACCGCAGAGCGGGTGCCGATTCTCAAACTACAATTAATGGCTATCACCTTTCTAATTAACGAGGAACGATGCTCGCACGTGTATCGATCGTCGCGCGCGTGATAATGGAGGGAAAAAGGTGAACGCGCGAGGAAAGAGGAGATGGAGGAGGGACACGACGACGACGGCGGCGGAAGGAAAAGAGTCGCGATCCAGCGTGAAGTCACGCGAGTCGATCAACGTGTACTACATACGCACGCAGGACGCCATTGATGCACGCCCATTCTCGAAGCTCGAAGATGATTAATGACAAGGAAAATCTTTAATTAGGCGCACCATATCTGAATTACTCATGACTGTTCGGTGTCGGAATCGACAACGGTGATGACAACTGTCGCTACACTGTATCATTTTGACAGTTTAGCCTGTTTGACATGTACGGCGCGGAAGATGCGGACGGTGCCTGCGTATTTTTTTAACGAGAAAAGGAAGTCAGGAAGAGTATCTATGGACAATTTGTCTCGATCATCCGAAATTAGTCATGTAAGAATAACTGTGTGATGTAAGGAAGGAAGATTAAGATAAAACGACAAGTTGATACAAAATTAAACTTCAAGATATGGACTTGGGTATTCCGGATATAAACCTGTCGTCTTATCTCTTAATCTATCTCACTTTACGTTACATTTATTCTCGCGTGACTGTTTTCGCACGTCCGACGATGGTCCGCAATTATATCCTTTTCTCTTCTTGTTAAAAATATGTAGCAAACACTCGAATAACTTCGTCGACATCGCATGCATTTTCCGCGCCACGCAGGTTAAACGTGGAGCTGTCGAGCTGACACGTATGATGGCAGAGGTGGTCAGCAGATTTGTCGATTCATCGATAGTCATGAAGCACGAATATTCAGATACGACGCGCCTGGTTGGACATTTTCGATATCATTATTTTTTAGGGAACAGGAATGCTTCAATCGAGCGTACTACGAACGAGTAGTAGAGAGATGTGTCCTGAAAACTACTTAAAAATTACACTTCGAGAGATCGTGCCTTAGCATCCGGGAAGGAAGCGTTGTAGCGATTTCCTTTTACGTCGAGTTCTTATCGGAATTCTATCCGAGAGATATTGTAGTTTCTTAGGTAGACACGTGTGTGTGTGTGTGTGTGTGTGTGTGAGAGTGTGTGTGTGCATTTATACACACGCACAGACACAACACATCGAGACGAAGCGAGCACGTAGAAGCAAGCCAGGAAACAGGAAATGTTAAAGTCGAAGTAGCCGCTTTCCTTGGGAAATGCAATTTATCGTAACTGCGCCTTTTTCCTTTTGTCGCCCCATATGGCGAGCTCATCCCGTCGCATAAACGAGAAAGAGAAGAAACGAATGAGGGAGAGAGGGAGGACAGAGAGGGTGAGAGAAAAGGGAGAGTTATTTCGAAAGCGGAAGCTTTTACGCGCTTGTCATTTTTTATCTTTCCGTCGCTCGGAAGTATGATTTATATCTCCCGTAATTTGATTTTTCTCCGCGCGCGTCCGCTCGTACGTCCGGATTACATTTAACGTCAATTTATCCCTTTCATCATTAACAAAAGCGGTCGTGTACGAGTACGTATCCGCGTACCGACATCGCTCGCCGTCTCCGTTTGAGGAAAACGAGCACAACTATGCCTTCAATGAAATCGATCGAGCGGCTCCTCTCTCTCTCTCTCTCTCTCTCTCTCTCTCTCTCTCTCTCTCTCTCTCTCTCTCTCTCTCTCTCTCTCTTCTTCAGCGACGAAAACATACTCCCACGCCGCGAATACACGGAGGACTCCGTAAGACGATCCGTCCCGTCGCGCACAAAGGAATTAAACAAGCATCGTTCCTGTCTGCTTCAGGATTTCTCCGTATCCGCGAACATTCGAGGATCGTCCGCGCCGCCCCCCCTCGCCGTCGCGTCTCCATTACCGGGGGCTTCGTAGCATTTTGCTGGCATTTACCAAATTAAGAGGAGGGGAGGCAACACAAAAGAGAGAGAGAGAGAGAGAGAGAGAGAGAGAGAGAGAGAGAGAGGGAGAGAGAGAGAGAGGGAGAAGGAAGAATGGGGCGAACGTTAGCGGATGGTCGTCAAGGGTGGCGGCTGGAACCGAATCAAGAAATAATACTCCGCTGGTAATGATGCGCCGACGTCCCGCCCGCAATCTGTACCGGCTCCGGCTCGGGGAACGCGCGGGCGGGAAGGGACGCGGCCCTTCAGCCGTCTTTCGCTCCCGTCGAGTCACCGTCGAAGAAATAATAACCCGATAGCCTCGTGCGAGCGGCGAAGAGTCGATCAATTTAACGGGTTATTACGGCTACCTACGGCAAGAAACTGCTCGTCCAACTTTTAATTACGGTACGGTTTCGCGCGCGTCCGCGAGAGAGAGAGAGAGAGAGAGAGAGAGAGAGGCGCCTCGCGAAGAAGAATTAAGAAATATCAGGGAACATTAGGGGGACGCTTGCGGGCGAGAAAAAAAATACCGTAATTATCGGGCAACCGACGCTGATATAATTACGTACTTATCATTGTTTACGGTATTACGTATCAGAATCGCAATGTGTATTTTCGCGAGCGCGATATCCGGGCGCTCATCAGGTCCCGCGGATTAAATAACAAATTCATTAATTCTGATCTCTATTGACACGATATTTTTCATTTGCTCGGCGGCCGTAATTGTCGGGGGATCGTCGGTTTCGATTTATATTGTATGTTTGCCCGCCTTGCGCGTTTTCCTTCGGAGCTCAAAGGTTCCGGGTAAATTGCCTTTCCGCAAAGCGAAACATTTAGAACGAGAGGCGGCCTCCACCGGTAAGATGAAGCGACTGAATAAATAAGCCCGCGAACAATAATAATCACGAGATTCGAGAATGATTCGACAAATATGTGTAATTGCGTATTTAATTAAACGAGTACCGCGCGAAGCGCCTCAGAATGGATGGTGTTCGGAATGCTCTTCCCTTCGGGAAAGCGACATCGAGGGGAAGAGCGAAGAAAGCCGGTTCCCGTCGTCTATGCGAAAGTAATTATTATCTCGAAAGAGCCCGTGTCCTACCTCACGTGTGCGCAGTGTAATCCCTCAAAGTTCAGATTATCCGATTATTCGATGACATCGGCGGAGAGGAAAAAGGGAAAGAGAAAGAAATCAATCAAACGGCGAGATCTCCGGCATTCCGCACGCGTGCGCGCTGCACAATTTTAATCATAGCAATCGTAAAAATCCGCAGCGCGCGCTCGCGCGCGTGGCAAGGTACGTGCGAATACAACGAACGGCGCGCGAGCGACGTAATACCTCTGTCCTCGCACTTTGACGAGGAACGTCGCAACTTTTACCGGGGATTTTCATGGCGTGACATTTTATTACGGAGCCGGGAAAAAGTTCCACTTACATAGCTCCGACGTACAGGGCGTCCCTCTTACTGTCCAGATAGAGCGTCCTGTAGTACAGCATGCCGCAGCTGAATTCCCGCACGTGTTCTGAAAGCAAAAGTAAATAAGGGGATTAAACGCGACGTCGTAGGGCGGTAAAATTCATTTTCCGCGCCGCGCCGGAAACGTGGCGAAGCCGTTGCGCCGCGCCGCGCCGCGCCGCGCCGCGACGCGACCGCTACGCGCTCGGCGGATCGTTAGATTTTCATTATGACTTTTATAATAACGGCCGGGTAGTAAGGCGCCACCCGCGCCCGCCCGCCCGCCCGTCCGCCGGTAATCCGGCTAAAGTCAACTCTGACTTATCTCTACCGTAAACTCGTCGGAATTACACGGCACGTAACGCGCGCTCGACATTTTCGTTCCATCGGCCAGCGTGGATCCGCTGAAATCCGCGTCTCGCCGCGGAGGCATTGAAGATCAACGCGCACGAGGAGTCGCGAGTTAATATTAGCGAACGAAGCAGTGCCAGCAGCCACAGCCGCCGCGGCGGCGGCGGCGGCGGCGGCGGCGGCGGGAACTTTCGCGATTGTCTCACGTGTAAACGCAAGTTCGTGCTTCGCGACAAATTCGCGAACGAAATACGAAGTATGTATTTAACTCTTTTCATCGCCCGCCAAGTTTCGAGCGATAATTCGCGCGTATATATACTGTGTGTGAGGGAGAGACAGAGAGAGAGGTGGGGACATGACAAAGACACAGAGACGATACATTGAACGTCCCTCGAATGAATACCACATTCATCGTAGGATTCGAAAACATTGCATCGAGTCGATTATCTACCTAGATTGAGCTGCAAAGTGAAATTCATGTACATTCCCGTTAGAGAGAGAGAGAGAGAGAGAGAGAGAGAGAGAGAGAGGGGGGGGAAGAGGGAGAGAGAGGGAGAAATAAAGAGCGGTCGATGACTCTCGTCGTCCTCTCTTTCTCCTCTCCTTCTCTCTATCTCATCTGCCGACACTGATCTGCTTAACATATGAAAGAAAGCCGCCCCTTTCTAAATATACTCGTTCCACTCTAGACTAACAGAGCGCGAACAATACTATATTTTATACGGTATCAGAGAGAAGGGGCCGACGTCCAATGAAAGGGGTTCTTCTCTCTGGAACAGTGCTACTCTTTCTCCGTATCTATCTATCCCTCGTTTTCGCTCCCGCCCCCCTCCTCCCCCCCCTCTCCGAGCCTTTCCTCGTCTCTACTCTCGCGTTTCTCTCCCTTTCTCATTCTATATCTCCAAATCCTAACCAACCCTTCGCGTGTTCTCTCTCCTCCACGAACGTATCTGGGAGAGAGTAAAAACTCGACCTTGCTTTATCTCGACGAAACGACCGGCGCTACACGCCGCGTTCCCTCTAATGTCGGACTTATTCAAAACCGATGCGCCCACGATAGTTCGTTAGGTCGCTCCTCCGGCTAGATAGACCACGGCTAGATGGTGTTCCCGGGAGAGAGGGAAGGAGGGAGGGAGGGGGCGGGAAGAGGCGGGAAAGAGAGAGGGTCCCGAGAAATTTATATTCGCTCGCGAACATGGCCATTCATTCGCCTTCCTCCGATTTCTCATCGACCGGCGCCCGCGAGAGCCGAGCGCATTTCGAGAGCCCGAGAGTTATTCCGATCTTATCGCCGCGATAAAGCCGCGCTGCCGTTCAGCCGCCACATGCACGTGCGCGTGTCGCGTATGGAAGATGATTGCCGCGCGCACCTGTCGCTCGTCGCGCGAGTTAATACGGCCGTTACACATCCTGCCTCTCGGACGCCTCTATTTTCGACCCGCGATAAAATTGGCCGCGCTGCGGCACGACGCCGACGGCGCGAGGCGCAATTGTTAATGGGAGTAAACGCCGGCGTAACGGTGGCTTCTATTTCGGCCGCAGCGCGCGCGCGCGCGCGCCAGCGAGGCTCGTCCCTTCGCTGCGGCGTTACTTATTAAGCGTGCGGAATGCGAAACGCGGCGCATTCTGAGCCGCGGTAATAATGTGTCTCTCTCGCGTATCCTCTTTCGTATCTTCATTCAACGGGTCCGCGCGTCGCGAGAGATGCATGGCCGCGCGCGCATGTGTGTGTATATGCACGTATATACGCGCCGTCTTGTCTACGTGTAATTTATACGACTTCTCTCCGTTCCGTTCGTAGCCCGGCTCGTCAGCAAATAATTGGATCGCGACGAAAAGTTTCTACGGTTTTACAATCCCGCCGTCTCGTAATTACTCGATAATTGTTACATTGTTTTCAATTGCATCGCCATTGTGCCAATATTTGCTTAATTAATAATGCGATACGCGCGTAATATAAATAATTAATCGTCCAATATTGATGCGCCGGAGGAGCATATGGCGCCGGCGCTGAGTTCTCCGGCAAATATTTGCCATCGTGTAATTTACTGCCATTAAAAGACACCGGCGCACCGTCTCTCTCTCTCTCTCTCTCTTTGTGTGCGCGCAGCGTATATCCACTTGTCATAAATTACTTACAACGCGCTCCCGTAAGAACGCGCGCGCTGAACTTCGAGGGCCGATACAATCGCTAATCGAGGTTGTTAACGGTGCGTGATAGCACCCTAACGACCCCAGTTGCGGAAAGCATCCATTCGAATTCGGTGCTTCCGGTGTAACGGCCTAATACCTTTACAGTATTTCTTAATTAAGCGCACCGACGGTACGGCCGCCGAGCTGGAACTGTTACGAAGCTCGCGATCAGCGGCCATTACGCCTGATAAAAAGGCGAGGGCTTACAAAAACGGAGGGTCGCCGCGAGGCAATAACCACTGTCATCGAGGAAAATATAGTCGCTCTCCGTTTCGTTGATTGGAGAGCCGCCGAATGCTGATCCGGGCGATTCTTTGTGATTACGACTGGAGAACGCGAGAGACACGCTCCCGTGCGTGATTTACTCATTAGAGAGTATGGCTCGCTAATTAACAAACCGCCGGCCGTATCGAACGAGAAGCTAGAAATCACTCCGGACATTTCGTGGTAAACAATCCCTCCTCCCTCCCTCTCTCCCTCCCTCCTGATTTTGCGTCTTCGCTCGAAGTAAGCCCGCGAAGTACCCGGGCCGCGTTTTCTTTCCCCTCCCCTCCTCCTTTTTACCAAAACCGTCATTGATATCACATTTAAATGGATCTCGATATACGACGAGAGGATGATTCGCTCTTTAAATTCTCTTCGCGTATATACGCGTCATGCTCCAGTTACCCAGTCTTGTGTACACATTTTTGCATCTAGATACATTCCTCTGAAAGACTTTAATCGCAGTTTTGCTGAGCGTCCGCTTTCGGATTGGAGCAATGAAAAAATCCGACTCTCTGGAAAACTCGTTAGGCGTGCTCTATAGCGTTACTTTACACTCATCAAGAGGCGCAGATTTTTTTCCAACTTGTAATCAGAAGACATTTCCATTAAAAATTTAATTTAGAAAGATTTAATTAATCCCTTCTGTAGGGCGCCGAGTGAGATATCTGTCGTATTCAATAGCGCAGTTTAACGTAGGAGAGCAAAAAGGTTTCTCGCAGAGAAACGATTAAGCGCTCGCTGAAAAGGGCCCGTCGTCTCGCAGTTCTAAAGATGCTCTCTCCTTGTGTCTTCGACATTTTCGCGAATCGTCCTTGTCGATGGGGCAACCGAGAATCGCGGGAATGCGGCAACTGATCGTCGCATTTGGCACGATTACGGCAACTGATCCCGAGATTGAGATCGCGCGAAGGAAGAAGCACGCTGCTGCATCGATGATCGAATGTAAATCACGGCGGTAAATGGAGGGACGAAATTATGAGTCGCGGAACAATAGCGTGCTGAATTGCATCGCCACGGGAACGCGGAGCACGAGGATGAGAGAGCGATGAGGGTCGAGCGAGGAATTTTTAGGAATTTTATTGTTCTGCCGAGATCTCGTCTCACTTCTTCGCGGCTCGACTCCCGGAAGTCGCTTTTACTCGATTTTGATAAACCCTCGTACACACGCTTGCGCGACGAACGCAATCACGCGCTCGCGCGAGAAAAATCAACGCGCTCGGATTACGCGCGCGGGCCGGCGGGGGCTCGGGACGGTATAAAATCGCGGGATGATATTTTCGGGATTACCCCGGGCGATATCGCAGAGCCGATGGTTATTTTCCGAGGTCCCGCGGCCATAGATTCGAATGGGCGACTCTCCCCCCACGCTTTCTCACTTTTGTGAAAGCCGATATTAACGCGAAACACCGCATGATCCTCGCTTCTTCTTCGATGTTCGCGGGGCTAATCTTTACGACAGATTTATGTAGCGCGTCTTATCGGCGGTCGTACGAATCCCGCGGGTCACGTGCGGAACGAATACCGCGACGCGATATGTCGGCATAACGCGTGTGCGTGCGCGCGCGCGCGCACGCGCGCGGCAGAACGCGAAACCATAAAGAGAGCCAGTTGCAATTGAATAAAGTTAGGCCGGCGGGTCCCGCAGACTCAGACCGCACAATGGCAGATTAGGCGTGCGATCATTTTTTACATTCGCCTGGCTTCGTTCCAGCTGACACCGGCATATGGCCGCCCAAAGATTACGAGGGTACCGCCGCGCGCGCGCGCGGCCGTGTCCAATTTCCAACGTTATTATTATTTTAATCCCTTGAGCCCGAGGCAAGGTGCCACCACGCCGCGCCGCGCCGGCGCGCCCCCGGCGCGGATAGCGAAAATATTCTCCGTCGTAATTTCAATTGCAAACGCGCTCTTTTTACCTTCCCACCACAATCCATCTCATTGCGTATCCGCGCGCACTGACTTTGAAAAATGAGATACATTCGCCCAGCCGCGCGCGCGCGCGCGCGCGATGCGGTGCAGCGATCAAGTAGACGTCACGGATGATACACGGAGAGAAGCGCGCGACGGGTCGAGCAAGACTAATAAGTAATTCAATAATAATAATAATAACAACAACAGCGACAGACGTAGCTTCGTTGACGTTTTAGAAACTCGTAGTAAACTATCGCCGCGATTACATGGTTCGTAGAATTTTTTCTGCGACGTAAAGTGCAGTGAAACTCGCACCTTTTTTTTTTTATCATCAGTGAGTAAATA